TTCAGTAACTCAGCCAGAGGCCAGGGGTCTGTTACAGGAGTGGGTGGGTGAGGTTCTGTGGCCTAGAATGTGCAGGAGGTCAGACTAGATGATTGTGGTCCCTTCTGGCCTTAAAGTCTATGAGATATAGTGCATTGCTTTCTGGAGTGAGGCAGCAGGACACCTCCCTTTCTTCTCTCTTGTGGGTCCATTACTTATGCCCTGACTTTTCTCTTTTCTCAGACCAAAACATAGGTGTTGGAATTAGGGGTGCTGCAGCACCCCGGGCTTAAAATGATTTCCATCATATACAGGTTTACAGTTAAGTTCAATGGCTCTCAGCACTCTCACAGTAAAAATGGCTCCAGCACCCCTGGACCAAAATATACCCCAGAGTGTCAGGTACCATGATACTTTCAAGGAGTTGTCACAGGAGCTGGCAAAGGATTCTGGGGCATGTATAAAACGGAGGGATCACAGCTCTATTTGGAAACCAACCATCCATCTTTATGAAAGAAAACCATTGAACTCTTCAAGTGAAAGCTTATGGGTTTACACAATCAGAAGACTGTTTTATCAAAGGCAATGTTGTAAATGTGAAAGGTCTCTGAGTATCAGACTTGGTTTTACTGCCAGTAGCAAGAGCTGCCAAGCTCATTATTTTTGGGGAAACAATCATTGAACCCTGTGTCTAAAACAGCATCCGTGTAATGTCCAGATCTGCTGCTGCCAGTCAAGTGAAAGCAATTCCCATTTCTAATGATGCCGTCACCTGATGAAGATGGGAAAGTAGCATCAGAGCACCTCCCAAAGTCCTCAGCTACTCTCTTGCCCAAAGGCACACAGAGGCAAGGAATGTTTGGGGAAATATGAAGCTGACAGTACCATGAGGAAGAGAAAGCGCAAACATTTGTACTGGGGAAGGAGCTGGGCTACTGAAGAGCTGAAAATCCTCCTGCTCCACCTCCCCAAAATTCACTTACCCTGAGATTGACTGTTCCACTAAGGGTATGTCTACACTGGCAAGTTTCTGCACCACAAGTTATACCACTTCTATTAAAACGCTGGAATTAAACCACTGTTGCGTGTCCACACTGCGCTTCTTGTGACACTGGAGCGCATCCACATAAGCAGCTCTTGCAACGGCAAAGAGAGCAGTGCATTGTGGTAGCTATCCCACTGGCCGCAAGGTGCTTTGGGAAGGGTTTGCAATGCCTCACGGGGCAGGCACAGCATCACATGATGCAGGTTTCCCAATCCCATTGTTCCATGTGTATCCTACTACATTGCCAGCTGCTTTCCAACTGAAGCGGGGGTGGGAGGTGGGGAAGAGTGTGTGACAGGGAGAGTGTGTGTGTATGAAGGGTGGGGAGAGAGATAGTGTGTTTTGGGGGACAGAGAGTGTCAGCATGCTGTCTTGTAAGTTCAGACAGCGGCAGGAAGCAACTAGTCCTGAGGCAGGGTGGGGGGAAATCTCAACATCAGCCCCCGCCTCCCTCCCTGGGCTCTCTGCACAGCAATCTCTCTCTCTCTCTCACACACACACACACACACACCCCTAGGGTGACCAGACGTCCCGATATTATCGGGACAGTCCTGATTTTAGGGGACTTGTCCCGCGTCCCGACCTTACATCGGCACTTTGTCCTGATATCGGGGGACCATCTGGTGGAGGATGCAAGCCGGTGCTGCCGGCGCCGCTCACCTCTTCTTCCTGGGCCCCGGGGCAGCGTAGCTGAACTCCCGGCGCCTGCCCGCCCACCGGCAGGAGCCTGCAGAGTGCTGCAGCCCCACGCCCCAGGCACGCACAGAGGCGGTGAGGAGGTCTGCGCTGCATGCTGCAGGGGCGGGGCTTGTAGGCAGCTGGCAGTGGGCAGAGAGCCCTCCACCCCCCTCGACCCGACCCGCGCGACCTTAGGAGCCAGAGGGACGGGACCTGCCTGCTGGATGCTTCCTGGGAGCCGCTCCAGGTAAGGCTAGCACTGCTGGGACTCACCTGGTCCCCTGGCAGGTCCCTCTGGCTGGGGGGCGGGAGGGGGGGGCTCTGCGTGCTGCACCCCTCCCTCCCTGAGGGGGGAGGTGGAGATGGAGCGGAGGCAAGCTGGTGCGGGGGGGAGGGGGGAGCGTGGAGCTGCCGGTCTGTTCTCAGCCCCCACCAATTTTTTCCTGTGCTCCGGCGGGTTTTTTTGTTTTGCTCTGCCGCCGGGTTGTTTTTTTTTGGCTCCGTCTCCCCTTCTCCCCACGTCCCGATATTTCACCTCTGTCATCTGGTCACCCTACACACACCTGCCTCTGTGTTCAACAGCACAAGCATTCCACATTAAGGTTTGCTTTGTGTCCCGGATCAGCACAGCAGATCAGCACAGCACACAACAGCTGTCAGAAACGGTGCTTTGAAAGGGGAGGGGTGCATGTCTCCAGGGCAGCCGAGTTCAAAACAATGAGCAGAGCGGTCACTTGAGGCATTATGGGACAGCTCTGGAGGCCAATTAAAGCGCAGAAAGCAATCAGGTGTCTACACTGGCAACAGAGCCCTGGAGCCTCTGCAAATAGCCTTACGACTCTCGTCGAGATGGGGTTTTTTGCAGCACTTCAGCTGAGGAGTTTCTGCGCACAAAGTGGCTTGGCAGTGTGTACAAATCTGCAATTTGAGCGCAAAAAGCTGCTTTACTGCGCAGAAACTTGCCAGTGTAGACAAGTCCTAAATACTTAGTCACTGGGTGACAGACAAAGAGAATGACTCTATTCTGGCAATTGGCAGATCAGCTTGTGTCTGTGCCCCCACCTTTCCGGTTTGCAGCTGGGAGTCTGCCAGGTCCATCAGCCTGTGAAATTTGGGGATCCTCTATAGCAGGCCATAGAAAGAGAAGCACAAAGAAACAGTCCTATATCACAGGCAAAGTACCTGCCAATCAAGGACTCTGCCCATCATAGCCCTCTAGGAGCTCCTCTAATCGGAGGAGTCTTCTCCCATCTGAAACAGCAAGTGGAAGCAGGAGCTGTTGATTCCAAGTACAATATAAACCAAACTCTGAAATTATTTGAGACCAACAATCCCAACTGAAGTTCTACTATTTTAAAGCATCTTAAAATAACTTTAAAATGTGATGTGGGGAAAGAATTCCCCTTGAAGATAAATATTTTGCAGTCTCCTGGTCACCATGGGGCAAACTCATCTGGCTTCAATTATCAGGGGGTAGCCGTGTTAGTCTGTATCTACAAAAACAACAAAGAGTCTGGTGGCACCTTAAAGACTAACAGATTTATTTGGGCATAAGCTTTCGTGGGTAAAAACCTCACTTTCAGATGCATAGAAAAAGTGAGATTTTTACCCACGAAAGCTTATGCCCAAATAAATCTGTTAGTCTTTAAGGTGCCACCAGACTCCTTGTTGTTTCTGGCTTCAATGGAGTTACAACAGGGATTCATATGGTCCCTTCTGTTATGTGTAAATTCAGGAAGTACTTCTGCCAACAATGATATTCTGTGGGAACAATACTGCAATATAAAATGCTGGCTAGCTAACACCCTCCACTGCATTCTGTGCCTGATCTGTGAATAAAGAGAGGAATTTAGTTCCCAATGTGTCAGTCTGGCACATTTCACAAGCACTACATTCCCTTCCAAAAAAAATCAGCCAGTGACATAGGGAAAGTGCTACAGTGACTGGATGATAAATTGCCTGCTGCTAACCATTGCAAATAATAAATGAAAACACCCAGGGCTAGATCACACCTCTCACAGCCCAGAGGGAAAATATGATCCTTTTGGGGACCACTGACATTTCTGCCTTCTGCCAGTTTTCTTTTCCCATCCTCTTTTCTCTCAGGAGACTTTTGTGACTCGCCTTTCTTTTTTTCTGTAGTTCTTTTCCTGCAGCAACTCCCAATCCCACAGTGTGACCTTCACTCCCACCCCCTTCTCATCCCATCCATTAAAAAATTAGCAATGAAATATTGCTGATATTCGAAGTGTCATCATTTTGCTTTTGAGATATGATTCATGAGGTGGAAGTAGGATGGAGTACACACCTCTAAAAGAGTCAGGGTTCAGGCTGGCTGGAGACAACACTCAGTTCACATTGAAAAGGTTTTCTTTGTAATCATGAGGGATAAAAACTTTCTTAAAACAAAATGGACAAAAAAACCCATCCCTTTGAGATTCTGCTGAGTGGATGTATCAGGCAGGCAACATAAATACACCAGGCATTTACCAACCTCTTGTTAACCAAAAATCACTTACCCTGAAGTTGACTGTTCCACTAAATACTCAGTCATTGGGTGAGAGACAGAGAGAATGACTCTATAGTTCAGTGGTTAGTCCACCCACCTAGGAGGTGGGAAACCCTGAGTTCGGTCCCCCTGCTTTAATCAATCACCTATCATTATTTATCCACAGTGGAACAGCTTCAACAAGGGAGATTGAGGGCATCCCACATCCGAATATCCCATAGCCCCATGTTTAGAGCACCACTGAGAGGTGGAAGACCCCTGTTCAAATTCTTTCTCCCCTTCAGGCAGAGAGGGGGGAATTGAACCAGGGCCTCCCACATCCCAGGCAAGTGTTCTAACCATAAGGCTAAAAGTTAGAAGATGGGCACCACTGGGTGGTACCATCACTCATCAGATCACCTATCTTCCCTGGATTTGCAGATTACTCTGGGGCTTGGGTGGGCAATAGTCCTCTGGATACCTAGAGAGATGCAGCAGTGGACATGCTTAGACGCAGAAACATAGGTGAGGGGGACTTTTACCCTTAAAACTTAGACACTCCACTGCTGGTTTAGGCACCTACCGGGTTCAGGAGAAGTTTTGTAGATTGCTGTGGAGCCTAAAACTGTCACTTATTATAAAGTGTTGACAGGATTTAAGAAGTTTAAGGAAAGAAACCCTAAATTTTCAGAACTGATAAAAAGTGGATTGAGTTATATTTGCAAGATTTGCAGAGCTGATTTTCAGACATAACAGTCCCACAAGAGACAGTCTCCTCTTGTTACATAAAAACGGAAAAACACAATTGTGCACAAGGTTAACGATTTTTTTTAATCACAGACCAAAACATCATGATTACAAAACTGATGGTTAAATTTAAAACCACCCTATACACATTTCTGTGGGAATATTTCCCCTTGACTCCCTAGCAGACTATGGGTTCAAGTGAAAAGCAGCACTGTTCACATTTGCCTTTGGAATTGAACAGTGCATTCCAGGATGATGGTTCATGCTGCAAGGAGTCAGGTAAGGATGCTTGTTGGACACATTTCATTCACCCAGTTGGAAGTGGCTACTTTTAGAGAGCGCTGTTACCTACATCAGAAATCCTAGTCATCTTGCAGCTTTCAGTCCAGAGCCTTCGCTGCAGCTCTTCATCATACGATACATCAGTAGATTTTGTCCTTTGCTCATTGTAAAGATAGATGCCACCAACTCCTTCCAGCTCTGGTGAGACAGCTGCATAGATGGACGTAGAGGCTCCTTCCTCTGGAGTCTGCAGCCAGTAGAAAGCAAAGCTAAATGAGACAGGTCCATATACATAAAGAACTTGGTTCATCACTATACACTACCAATATCAAAGCGCTTCCCTTGTCCTGTAGCCAGCTTTGTGGTTTTATTCACACACTGATGAGGAAGGGGAGGAAAAAGGCCATGTATCCAACCAGCCCAGTATACCATTTTACTAACATTCTATTTAGAGACAGCTTCAAGCCACAAAACTCTCACATGCACATGGAAAACTCTGAGATATTCAGAGCCAGGATTTTGGTCCAGGCCCATCCTTTCCAGCAAAAAACGAAGTTTTTTTGTCAGGGAGGTAGTTAATTCATTTCTAAAAGCAAACAAAAATATTAAAATCGCTTGTGTAATTATTCGTTTTATAAGGACAGGTTCTTTAATCTGCTCTAAGCAGATGAAGGTGTAGGCTGTGTCTATAAAGCACACTTTTTAATAATGTGGCATGAGCAAAAGACCATGACAACTATGACAGCAAATGAAAATTCTGGTGTTTAATCCAAACAGGAAAGGTAAACCAGAATATTATATTTTGCATAGAACATAATTATCAGAGTTCGCTGCTGTCAGAAAATAAAATGGTAGAAGTTTTAGTAACATTTAGCATTAAACGAATGTTTAAATCAAATTAATACCTTATTTCATGAAACACCTTTTATCCTGAGGGAACCCAAAACACTTTCCAGACTGCCTACAAAGGGATCACACACATTCACCATTGAAATGATGCCAGTTTTTGATGTTTTTAAACATGCACTGAAGTACAGATTTATTTTGAATGTTTGCATTTATTAGTGATACAGATTATGATCAAGGCCTCATACATAATCATTTTAATCTTCCCAATTTTGCTTCTGTAAGTAATTAACAGTACAGTGGTTATTCACAGTATTGCCTAAAGCTGATTGGATAGCATTTCTCAAAAACTTTTTTGACAAATGTGATAGTATTTTTAGGGCTGTCAAGCGATTAAAAATTAATCATGATTAATTGCACTCAAACAACAGTAGAATACCATTTATTTTAAATATTTTTGGATGTTTACTACATTTTCAAATACATTAATTTAAATTACAACACAGAATAAAATGTACAGTGCTCACTTTATATTTATTTTTGATTACAAATATTTGCACTATAAAAAACAAAACAAAAATATTTTTCAATTCACCTCATACAAGTACTGTAGTGCAATCACTATCATGAAGTTGAACTTACAAATGTAGAATTATGTACAAAAAAACTGCATTCAAAAATAAAACATTGTAAAACTTTAGAGCCTATAAGTCCACTCAATCCTATTTCTTGGTCAGCCAATCACTCAGACAAACAACGTTGGTTACAATTTGCAGGAGATAATACTGCCCACTTCTTATTTACAATGTCACCTGAAAGTGAGAACAGGCGTTCACATGGCACTGTTGTAGTTGGCGTTGCAAGATATTGACGTGCCAGACGCACTAAAGATTCATATGTCCCTTCATGCTTCAACCACCATTCTAGAGGACATGCTTCCATGCTGATGATGGGTTCTGCTTGATAATGATCCAAAGCAGTGTGGACTGACGTATGTTCATTTTCATCATCTGAGTCAGATGCCACCAGCAGAAGGTTGATTTTCTTTTTTGGTGGTTTGGGTTCTGTAGTTTCCGCATCAGAGTGTTGCTCTTTTAAGACTTCTAAAAGCATGCTCCATACCTCGTCCCTCTCAGATTTTGGACGGCACTTCAGATTCTTAAACCTTGGGTTGTGTGCTATAGCTATTTTTAGAAATCTCACATCGGTACCTTCTTTGCGTTTTGTCAAATCTGCTGTGAAAGTGTTCTTAAAATGAACATGTACTGGGTCATCATCCAAGACTACTATAACATGAAATATATGGCAGAATGCAGGTAAAATAGAGCAGGAGACATACAATCCCCCCCCCCTCCAAGGAGTACAGTTACAAATTTAATTGACACATTATTTTTTTAACAAGCATCATCAGCATAGAAGCATGTCCTCTGGAATGGTGACCGAAGCATGAAGGGGCATATGAATGTTCAGCATATCTGGCATGTAAATACCTTGCAACGCTGGCTACAAAAGTGCCATGTGAATGCCTGTTCTCACTTTCAGGTGACATTGTGAATAAGAAGCAGGCAGCAGTATCTCCCATCAATGTAAACAAACTTGTTTGTCTTAGTGATTGGCAGAATAAGAAGTAGGACTGAATGGACTTGTAGGCTCTAAAGTTTTACACTGTTTTGTTTTTGAGTGCAGTTATGTAACCAAAAAAAATCTGCATTAGTAAGTTACACTCACGATAAAGAGATTGCATTTCAGTACTTGTATGAGGTGAATTGAAAAATAATAAATTTGTAATAAAAAATAATAATATAAAGTGAGCACTGGGCACTCTGTATTCTGTGTTGTAATTGAAATCAATATTGAAAATGTACAAAAACATCCAAAATATTTAATAAATTTCAATTGGTATTTTATTCTTATAAGTGCAATTAATCGCTATTAATTTTTTTAATCACAATTAATTTTTTTGAGTTAATCGCGTGAGTTAACTGCGATTAATTGACAGCCCTAGTATTTTTAAGATCTTATTTAATGACTATTTTAAAGATAAATCAAAATGCTATAGAGCAGGGTGGTTGATTCGTACAAATATATTCACACCTAATTTATTTGTTTTTTTGTGATTTTTGTTAATAAATAGACACTTTTAAAACAATATTCATTCAATGGCATTCCCACTGTACCACAAATTCTGCAGTAATGTTATCTACTTGCAGTGGCAATACTCGTAAAGGTTTTAATAGCTACCATTATACTTTTTGATTAATTGGGCATAAATTAGGTGCTGAGGCCCCATTCCCCCAATATATGTGTCAGAGCCATGCTGAATAATGTAGCAAATTGAGATCTATGTGACAGTGTTAGGTGAGCTTGGCAGCTGGCTGGCTATCATACCTGCACAGCTCCCTAATGCAGAGCTGGCAGTAGCAGAAGGGGACCTGTGGACAAAGCACTATCTTGGGAAGGAGGTGGGGGAAGCCTTAACAGCAGATGGCTGCCATTAGGACTGAAGCTAAGCTTTGCAGAACAAACTGTGTGGCTCAGGAGCTGTGCAGGACCTCTACCCGGGTTCCAGACACATTCCTCATAATGTGAATAATTGTGAACAGTATACTTTAATTGGAACAAAGCTCAGCAACAAAATCATTCACCTACTTGAAGAAGAAATTTAAGTTAATGTTAGAATCTTACATTGTTGAGGATTCTACATATGTGTTACTATGAACATAAGGCCCAATTTCTCCACTTCAAGCCTGATTCAAAACACACTGAAGTCAACAAGAAAACTCCCATTGACTCTCGTGGACTTTGGATCAGGCCATTAGTATGCAACACTGCACTGATCACAATTAAAATGTCAACAGTTATTATCAATTACCCCACAAAGATTTGGTATTTAAGGCACCACAGTTATTTCCTAGTCCAAAGATAGCATAGTGAAATATTATGGTAATCATATGACAAAGAGATTATTCACAGGGTAAGATATTACTCAACATGAGTAAAAAAAATTCGAGTCCAGGCAAGTAATGGTAAATGTCGATTTTTCAATGAAAACCACTCTATACTGGGAAGGCATTGGCAACAGTAAAACCAAATAAGGCCCTGATACTGCAAAGATTAATGTGCATGCTGAACTTTACGTACTGTGAGTAGTTCCACTGGCTTCAAAGATACTACTGACACTGCTTTAAGTTAAGCATGTCCATAATTCTGTGCCAAATAAGGGCTTAACTCTTAGTCAGGACTGCCTTGTAAAAGAGGCTTGTGTCTCAATTAAATTTTCTAACCTTGGATAACTAACAAATCATCATCACTAATAGCAACAAATTAAATTTCTTAATAGCAGAAGGATAGCAATTAGTAGTAATCATTAATATTTGATTAATATATTACATTTGTCAGAAGGAAAGCATTGAGTCTTAAGGTATTGTCTGTATTTTAATTATAAAGCTAGTGATACAGTACGCCTATTACTCATGTGATGGGTCATCGGACAGTGTAAAGGAAAAATGTCAGTGACTCATAAATCCCAATGATTTTTTTAAAAATAACCAAAAATAAAATGTTGCACTGGAGTTCTCAATGAAAGGCCTAATCCTGAGAGGTGCTGGCGATGGAGCTACATGTGTGTGTACCCTTGCACTTGTGTAGAGTTCCATTAACTTCAACAGGGCTCTGAACAGACTCAGAGGTCTGCCTGCCTGAATCTTTAAAATGTGTTAGCTGATGGTGGACAACATCTAATGTTAATACAAAATGTCAGATACACAAATAGACAGGACAAGAATCTGTGATACAGCTTTCAAGACCAGAGACTTCATCCTTGACTTAAAAAGCCTTATTCTACCCTTCTCTTTCATGCATCCCTCTCTCTCCTTCCATTTTCTCTCTTCTAATCCACTACTCCTCTATTTCTACCCTTCTCTTTGTTCGCCTCAATTAGAGACCAAGAAAGATCTGGAGATGTTTTATAGACTATACTATACTGTTCTACATAAAGACTTAGCCAGCACCACCAAATTAATTTCAGACCACTTGAACTGCTAACCCCGAGCAAAGTGAAGACTTTAATAGGTTCATTCAATATTAAAATGGTTTACATTTCACTTTTTAAAAGGAGAGACAATTAGAAACAGAGGAGACAGAGCTGAAAATTGCTGCCCTTTCCAGGACAATGCTGTGGCGGAGGACAATTTATTCTGGAATCAGAGATATTAATATTAATATATAGTAAAAGATGCAGTACTGGGTTGAACTAATTGTGAATCCGGTTTCAAAGAAAAAAATTGAAGTGTGGAAGGCACAGCAAGGGAGACACATGTTTTAACTTGGATAATTGATACCTACTGCCGGCTTTTTCCTGGAAATTCTAGTACTAGAAAATTGAGAAAGCTTCTGAAGCCT